AATCGTTATCTTTTGTCTGCTTACTTCTTGTTCTTTTATTGTTCTCTCGACTTAATAATATTTTTCTCAGATTCTCCTACGCACAATAACCCCTTGCATCTCAGTGGCTTTATTGCCTTGATTGAGGTGAAATGATTAAAACATAGTTATTACATTTCCGTTCACTAATGTTATCTTTGTTTCCAACGAAATTTTCCTGTTTCGGAATATTTTGCTTAGCTTTTGAAAGGCATCTTTCACTATCCCAGTGTGAATTCGGATTTCAGTGTCGCGATTTCCGTCCTCTGTTAAAGCACTTCCCAGATATTTGAATTGTTGTAATTGTTTGATTTTGGCATCTCCAATTTGTAATTTTCGTGTTGCACTGTCCTTTTTGCTAACCAGTACGCATTCTTTCTTTTTGCAATTGAACTTTAGTCCTTTCTTCTCGCTTTCCTAGACTACCTTCTGTAGGAGTTCTTGTAATTTCTTTTCTGTGTCTGCTATCAACACCGCATATCTTATGCTGTTAAGACTGGGGTTGCTAATAATGAATCCTGGTAGGATTTCTAATCCTCTGAGAATCGCCTCACTGCCTAAATTTAATAAGTCCGGCGAGATGACACCTCCTTGTCGAGTTCTATCTGTATGCGGGCGTGTTGCTGCCGCTATAAGTTCTTGATTATTCTAATATCCTTCCCAAATATCTTACGGTCACTTATTACATTCCTATAAAATGACAGTGTTTTGAATTATATTCTTATAGAATTGCATTCGTACAGATGAGTGGATAAAATCATTGGTTGAGTGATCCAAAAGTGACTTAACCCAATACTTGACTACAGTAGTGGGGACAAAGGATTTGGAGAGTTGAGTTTCCAAGGGAGATTAACTGACATTGAGATACTCAAAAAGAGGCATGGCACTTAGAATTAGAACAATCTACCCCCGTAGACTAAATAAAGAATTCGGTTCGTAATTCCAACAAATATCACCTGAAGAAGACCGGAGCGTACAACGTTCGAAACGCCGTGAATATGTCTATAAAGATGAGGACAACAGTTCAAACAATGTAAACAGATAATTAATCTAAAACGGTTGATGCTACGTAGTACAAAATTAGTGGGAAGCTTTTCGATATTATAGTTGACCATTGGAGTGAAGGTGAGGGCCGACTAACGGTTATCGAGGCGGAAAATATAATCAGTGAGCCGAGTTCAGGTTCCGGCTAAGACAGTTTGTTCTGTAATCCCCTTGAGAAAGGCCTCAATCTAACTCTTCCTTTACAAGCAATGGATAACATAGTAGGGAAGATTAGCATATTTAACCCTGGTGGGACATTCCGTCTGCAAGGACTCCTTTAAATTCTGGATGGGTACAAAAGGATCTGGAAGAGTGGCCGTTCAGGATGACATTCATTTCTATCTTCAAATTGTTATTCCCTCTGTTGTGGCCAGGTATTGAACTCACTATTATCTGGGTCATGGATCAAAAACTTGGAAAGTAAAGTTACGAAAGGGGAATTAACCAAAACTGAGATACCCCCCCCAAAAAAAAAGGCCTGGCACGTGGAATTAGAACAATCTAATAGTAATGGATAGTGGCTTGGATTAAGGAATCGGAGAGCCGAGTTCGAATTCCAGTCGCATCCATTACATTCAGTTACGTGTTAATACCCTTGGGAAAAAAATGAATCCTCTTCTTCTCCGCCCCCATCTATGGGTAAATAGCAGGACAGACCAGGTTCTGTAGCCTTGGATGGCAACTAGTCTACCGCAGAAAGAAATGGCAACCTACTACGGGAAAACATCTACCTCGTCAGTCATGTATTGAAAGATACATGATCGCCTAAGAGTGTATCACGCATGGCACATAACTGACTGACCCCTGTGGACTAAATAAAGTGTTTGGTTCGTAATTCCAATTAATTTCAACTGAAGATGGCCGGAGCGTACAACGGTCGAAACGTTGGCAATAAAGACAAGGGCAATAGTGTAAATAATTGTATTCTTGTTAAACTGTTTTCGTGGAGTATTGCATTTTGAATGAAGTTCCTTTCCATTTTGTATTGTGTTTCACAATACTTACGCATTTACATTCCTCTACAGGTTTATTCTTTAATTGTATTCTTGCTCTTTTCATTGCAATCATGTGTTTTTTTTTTGTGGGGGGGGGAGTATTTCGTATTCTTTTATCAATAGAGGGGATTTTTCTATTTTCCAGTTGGATGGAATTTTATGCCCTTTTCTCCAAATTTTCCCATAAATATTTTCAGGCTTTGTTATTTTTGGACGGGTGGAACAACGGATGATTCATATTCTTTCGTTTCTTATTTTATTTTGTATTCTAGTATAAAAAAAAAAAAGATAGGGAAAATTCTTTTATTGGCAAACATGCCGAAGTTATTCGAAAACACTTATTTTTATTAAATTATTATTATTTTCTTTTTTGCTGTTTTCATAGAGAACTTTACCGCAAACTCTTTTTTTTTTTAACCCAAAGTAAATAATTCAAAAAAATAAACATAAAAATTCAAATACTGCTCCCGCTGAATACAATCCGAGAAACAGTTCCAGAAAACCCGTTTCTTTGCGAGTAAAACACTACTTTTTTTTTTATAAACTGTAAGCTCATGAAAAATGCCAGAGGAAGTCACGAGCAAATGACACACATAAAGGGTTAATACGTCAGTAAGTAAAATATTTACCTACTGCCATAAACAAGTTATCTAGGTAACTATTTTTTACGTCGCATTACAATAAACAAGCAAGAATATTTTTGACAGACTATGAATATTTGTATTTCCTTTTATTCAGTATACACACACGCACGCACACACAAACACTCACAGACACATACACGCACACATAAACACTCACACACATATATATATATATATATATATATATATATATATATATATATATATATATATTAAAGAAGTAATCATACAAAGAATTAATCAGTAAAGTAAAGTAAATGTAATTAATGGCGAAATCACTTCGCTAACAGATTTAATAAAGCATTAACATATGAATGATGCGATCTTTATGTTTAAAATTGTAAGATGAATTAGATGTTCCGTAGCTGCTAGAACTTTCGAAAATCATCACATTTTTATCATCAAGTGTTAATATTTTTTTTCATTTCAGGTCACGACGAAAATAAACATATTGCAGGCCGAAGGATGTTTTTTTAGAGTTATTATTATTATTTTTTAGAGTTATTATTTTAGAGTTTTAGAGTTATTACTATTATTTTTATAGAGTTTATTAAGGATTACATAATTTATTATTAAGTAGTTATTATTATTAGTTATTATTATTATTATTTTTTAGAGTTATTATTTTAGAGTTTTAGAGTTATTACTATTATTTTTATAGAGTTTATTAAGGATTACATAATTTTGGAGCGTACAGCAACGCTAGAGTTGTATTTTAAATATTTCAAATGAGAACATTTTTTGAATATAGTAATGTGGCAAATCCACGAATTTTTTTTTTTTCAGTTAACGTGACATGAACAAATGGTCTAAGATTATCATTAGCCAGCAAGGTAGATTAGGCAAAAAGTGTTAATATTTTAATATCTTAAGGGAGATTTATGCAGTCATGCGTTAATTTAGTTATTATTATTATTATTATTATTATTGTCGAATATATGGCAAAATCCTTCAGAAAGAGAAAGTCCCTCTGGTCTGAAGTGACTTAGTAAATTAGTTTGAAAAAAGTATTCAACCTTCAATTTTTAGCCGCTTCTCCGAAATCCAGAGAGTAACCCCAAACTTATGGTCTATAGTGTGCCTATACAAACTTATGGTCTATAGTGTGCCTATACAAGTACAACTGAAAAAAAGACTTCGACGGTTTTACAAATAGTTATAAAGAAGCAAGTTTATTTTTTTCACACACTATGTTTGTGCCTTAGTATTTTTAATAAACACTATTAGACGAAAAAGAATTGAATTAAAAGAAAAAAAAAAGTAGACATAGAAACAACCCAGGGACGAACTGAAAGTGGGCATGGGTCACATAACTAAAAGAAAGGGTAACAGATGGAACAAATGGTTGATTGAAAAGGAACTTAACAGATGGCAAACACAGTAGTCTATAAGTTATTTTAAACCTATGAACCAAAATACAGTTAAATATATACAATTCTTGTTTAATGATTTCTAATATAAAAGTGATTATTATTATTATTATTATTATTATTATTATTATTATTATTTCCTTGGATTTCTTTTGTATATACATTTCCTTCCGGGTCCCAACAAGAGACCTAAGATCAGAAATGGCTTCATGACATTTACCACTGATCAATTTTGCAAAAGAAAAAATTATTATTATTATTATTATTATTATTATTATTTCCTTGGATTTCCTGTGTATCTGTCTATATTTCTGAGATGAGGTATGATGTACACTATTTACATTATTCGGACTATTTCTCATGTGTACTCAATTCTTTCCGGGTCCCGACCAGAGACCTAAGGTCAGAAATGGTATACACCACCGTGTAATTAAAAAAATCGCACATATTTTACATAGATAAAGCCCTTCGTAAGGTGTGGGCTATACTCGTCATTTTCTTTTTGTTTTCGGTTGCTAATAACAATGTCTGGGCGATTAGTTTTGATTGTTCTGTCTCTGTGTATTGTATAGTCGCATAAAATTGTTACAGGTCCTATCTCCGTAACCGGGTCAGGGTGGTGTTCATACATTATTATTATTATTATTATTATTATTATTATTATTTCAGATACTAAACCTTATTGACTGATTGATTCGTTCTTTTACGGCTTGTCAGCCCTTTGCAGGTTATTTAGAGCCAGAAAATATAATAATGATTTTGTGACACGGGTCTTACTAATTAACCCATAGCTAGGGGAGGTGGATTCTTACCTTTCCAAAGTGTAAATGACTATGACGAACACAACTGGTATCGAAACTCGATTTAACAATTCCCGATTAACAATTCCCACCCATTATCCATTACACCATCCGCACATACATGATTAGAGCACCTAATATTCCCAGGCGGTCACCCATCTAGGTACTGACCAAACACGACGTTGCTTAACCAGTGATCGTATGGAAACCGGTGTTTCAATGTAATATGGCCTTAAGCCGGGAAATATCTTAGTTACGGTTTAGTCGGCTTATGAATCATAACATTGTCACAGTCTTTATGACATATATATATATATATACTATTTACACTATTTACAATGTTCGGACTGTTAACTTTATCTTTATTGCTATATTCACGACGTTTCGGTCGTTGTACGCTCCGACTTCCTTCGAGTGATTGGAATTTATTTCGTTGTATATTCACAGATGAAGAAGAGACCTGAGGCAACAGAAATGTGGTTCTACAGAAGGATGCTGAAAATACAATGGAGTGAACATGTGTGCAACGATGAAATTTTAGTGAAAAAAGAAAAAAATCACATATACATATCATCAGAAACAGATAGTTGGAATTTCTAGTGCACATAATGAAGAAAGAGTGGTTGGAGAATTTGATACTTACAGGAATAGTTTGAAGCCAAGAGGGACAGAGTAAAAAGCTATAAAGGACAGGAAATTGTGGAGAGCCATGAACGCAAACGTCCTGAATAGATACGTCACATAAAAGAAGATCAAATAAGTTGTACAACGCGAGTATCATGGCCTTGCCCTTAATAAATCGTGCAGATGAAATTGCCTCAAAGACAGGCGAAATTTGAAAGATTTGTTGGTTTGGGCAAAGAAAAAAAAAGAAAAGAAAAAAAACACGGCATCGTAGAGATCGCCAAAGACTACTGGGTAAGGTGCTTCAGACTAGAAAAGACTCATTTTAAGATACTTCCCAACGATGCCGCGCGATGGTTGGTTGATTGGTTTTGTTTAGTGGCATATCAACACCTCTATGGGCTATTCAATGCCAAAATCTAAATATTTTGTACGTATTTCATGCCTTTCACTACATATATTTTGTACATAATCTTACACTTTCAGGGAAAATGGTTTTTTTTTGGGTTTTTTTTTGGGGGGGTACATATAGAATTTGTGGATGATAAAATGTATTGTTAGTAATTTAAAAAATGTATTACTTTGTAATTTCACTATAAAGATTTATTGTTGGTAATAATCTTCTTTTTATTGTAAAAATGTATTGTTGGTAATTCACTACAAAATCTATGGCGAAATCAAGACAAACGTGCCCTCGACAAGGACAGTTTTTCCCATGACACTGATTTTAACTACCTTCACTCTTCGGCAATGTTATTTGTTTTAAAAAGCTATATTTAGAATTGAAATATAACTTAAACATATGAAAGTGTATTTTTACCTTTTCTTTGTTCCTGAGGATTGATAACAAAAACCCAAAACACACATTTTACATTTAGCGAACTATCTCTCTTTCCATCTCTCTATAATATAGTATATTTACTTTTCCTCTCTCTTTCAAGCTGTCATAGTAGTTGATGACTACAAGAACAATTAGGTCAGATAAGCTAATGACCTAGCAACAAGTTCAAGCGAGATCTAAAACTAGCTTCTCACACACACGCAGAAACACGTGATCAAGTACGAATCATCGAACGGGAAATAATGAAAGGAATTAGTTGGAGCACGAGTCTTAAGCGGGTAACATCACTTTTACTGGTTACCGTCAAACAAGTGAAATCGCACAATGAAGACGAGTTCCAATTCAAGTTTAACTCAAGACACTATGCTGCATATATCAAATGCACTGGTGAATTACTAAGCGTGATAATCACTTAAGACAGGCATGTGTGACCCACTAAAATGGACGCAGGGTAAGACTTATACAACGCCGAATCCACCTACCCGAACAATGAATTCTACATTGCCGAATATGTGAAGAAGAGAGTAAATGACCAAATCTTGGGGTCAATAACAGTGAAGAATATATCAAAGGATATCGCCTCATGGGCGAAAAAAACTGAACTGAAAATAAAAAGAGCAAAAGAGAAATATAAAGCAAAAGAAAGAGAGAGGAAAGGAAAAAGAGAAAACCTTATTTTATGTCAGGCGAATGACTAAAGCTAAGTGGGCTTTGACTTTTCATATTAGATATATAACGCATACATCTTTCCACACAGAAATATATAGCAAACATGTTTCCACGCACTACCTTACATTAATGTTTTTATGTATCATCATTATATAATTAAATATTAAATTATATATTGGTGTTTGTTGCTCATTACTCTTGATTGTTTCTCCTCATCCGTGTATTTGACCCTGTAAAAGGATCCTTCCTCTTCTTTCATGTGCCGTGGCCATCCAGGGCGTAGGCAATTATGGCTCTCCACTTCTCCCTATCTCTTGTATCTCAATAAGTTTCGTCCCTCTGCCACCTCCCGCAGGCCATGTTCTGTCATCCACTTGCTTAAGCCCGCCAGGTATGTCATGTGTTGCTTTCCCTTGTCTCTATTTCTCTCTATTCAACCTGTGAGTATCAGATTCTCCAGGCCCTCCTTTCTGAGTACGTATCCCAGACACTTCAGCTGCCTTTTCCTAATGCTAAGTATAAGCCTTCTCACTGTTTGCATCCTCACTAAGACCTCATCGTTGCTCACACGCTCGGTCCATGATATCCTTCGCATCCATCTATAGAACCACATCTCCGTTGCCTCGAGTCTCTTCTTTTCTAATTAAGTGTCGCAGAAACTTCAGCTACCTCTTCCTGATATTAAGTATACGCTTCCTCCTTGTTTGCATATTCTTCTAAACCTCATCGTTGCTCACACGCTCGGTTTCATAATATCCTCAAAATCCTTCTGTAGAACCATATCTCCGTTGCCTCGAGTCTCTTCTTCATCTTTTAGAAGACCGTCCGACATTCGCTGTCGTAAAGAAGGACAGATGTTACGTAATAGCTCAGTATTCTTTTCTTTGTTACCAAATAAATCCTCCTGTCTCGGAATACTCTGTCCAGCTTTCGGAATGCGTATTTGGCCATCCAAATACATCTACGGATCAAAGTGTCACACTTACCGTCCTCTGTCAAAACACTTCCCAGATATTTAAAACTTCCGAACCTCACCTGTCTGATTTTAGTGTCCCCGACCTGTAAATCGCATTTCAGGCTGGTCCTTTTAGTGATGACCATTCATTCTTATCTTCTTGTATTTTATGCTTAGTCCTTTCTTCTCGTTCTCCTTCGTAGATTGGTAATCATTGGTCATATTCTTTGACAAGAAGTTGATTTTTGTTATCTTTCTTTATTTTTTTTTTTAATTTTCTGTTGCGGCAATTGGTCCATAAAAGTAAACACTATTTATTTATTATATTATTTAATGGTATGGTTAGTGAAACATTGGTTAATTACCAATTGATTCGATCTGTATAAAGTATTAAATAATAAGGATTTCCAGATAGTGGGATTGCATATTTTAATAATTTAGCGAATGTTTACAAATTTATGAATAAAAAATTATTTTCACATTTATTTCTTTATAAATTGGTTAATGATAAATATTAGATTGCATTAGTTTTAATTGTATTAGTTTTTACTTTCTTAGAATTTTGTAAATTTAACTTATTCTTGTCATTAAACACTAATAAATAAATAGTCTTTATTATTTTTGTTGTAAATTCTCAAGAATGAAAAAAAAAATGTATAAACCCACTTGCATCAAATGTTTAGGATTTATTACAATTCTAATCATCGCTTTTTAACCTTACCAAATAGTGAAGGTGACTAAAAAACGGTGTCATGGGAAAAAAGTCCCTTTTGATAATACGTCCTATTGCTGGCAAATTTATCCATGTCTTCCAGTGTATTTATCCATTGTCTTCCAGTGTATTGTATATATATATTTTATATATATATATATATATATATATATAGACAAATATCAGACGATCCCTGAAGCGTGAAACCCAGGGTCACAAACTCACATCTATCCAATCAAATATGTTAGCTCTATCTCTGATATTGAGTGCTTTCTAATAAGTACCGCGCATATAATATATAAATAATTATACATATATATATTTATTTATATTTATATACACTTTTCACATATATATATATTTAATGAAAAACAGACACTTTAAGGTACCATTACAATAATTTATTTCACCAAAATCCTTTTTAAAGGATTTCGGATCATCAGGTAACACTTCCAACAATGAAATGAGAAGAAAAATGTGATTAGAAATTGATGTTATAAGGGGCTAATAGTTAAGTTATGAAGAACTTGGTGAACCGAATTGGTAAATTCATAATTTAACTATTATCTCCTTATAAAATCAGGATTTCATCCTCCTTGGATTTACCAATTCGGTTTACCAAGTTCTTCATAACTTAAATATATATATATATATATATATATATATATATATATATATATATATATATATATATATATATATATGTATGTATGTATATTTATAATGTATTGCTGGTATATTTTCTATAAAAATGTATTTTTTTAAATACTTTCCTAGTGTTTTTATTTTTGACAGCGCTATGGGATCGTTTAACCTCGTCAATAATATAACGAAGTCACCTTGACAAATCACCAATCGTGAAATTCGAACGTTTTAACAATGTAGCGACACGCCCACACGAACGTAATATATATTAATGAATGCATACTCTGTCTGTTCAAGATCAGCCGATATTAATTGTATACTCTTTAACAATGTCAATTCTGACGACAAGTGTCAGTTGTCATTACAGACGGTGTTGTGAAGAAATACCAGCAAGTAGGTCACTGATTTTGGAATTTAGTTAACGAGTTCATCATTGTTTATGTCTCAATCCTGTATATTGATTTCTATTTGTTTTATTGTTTGTTTTTTCAATTTCACAACGCAGTATAAACAAAATAGTCGTTATGGAATAAAGTCTAATTGGACACACCTTTACGCATTCGTAAATTGATACTCTTATCCAGAAACACCTCTTTTAGTAAAAGATTCATATACTTGTGAACAGATCATGTCAAATCGTAACAGCTGGTTGAGTCTGCCTATATGAAATATGATAGCCAGAGCTAATACATTAATGTGGCTTTTATATATTTGAAGTCAGAAGTCATAAACCCAGCTGAGCACATGAGCGTACACGTTTTAAAAATCACACACATACACTCACAC